CAAAGTGTAGTTCTTTTAGTGGAATACATCAAGCCGTCTTTGAGGATCTTGAGCTCAAATGAACTTTAAAATTGTATTTTATTCAAAAAGTAAAGAATCCAAAACTACCAGTCTAAATTTGTGATCTTGAGCTAATAGCTCATACACCTAAACATTCCTAGCAAATGAGTCAAGCATTCAAAATGACAAGAAATATTGAAGTACATCTTGACAGAGCTGGCTATCGTCAGAGTGGAAATTGTGCTTCAGACCGTAGGTTACATATGGTCTGCCAGGATGCCCAGTGTGGCTGCCAGTGACCATATGTGCCAAACCTCCCCGTCACCTCATGCTGGGATCTGTATGGCATTAGAATGACCAACCATATGTCCCAAAGTCTCCAGAGGGGGTTGACTATTTCATGTATTTTGGACACAGGGCTAGGGCTTATATTTATCCAAAAGACTTCCCAGTCATTTATAGGGGTTTTTTTTGGGGGGGGGGGAGGTGCCGACTGTTGACATCCAGGGGGAACATAAAATGGGTGGAAGTAGCTCCTGGACCCTAGGCAGCTGCTCACCCCAGTATAGATCCAGGGTATCATTGAAGGCTGTATGCCTTACAGCAAAGCCAACCTCCAGTTTAGCCTAGGGATGCATTCCTTCTCATCTTTAAACAGGGCAACCTGCACCTTCCTGTGGCCTTCTCTATCACTCTTGTAGCTCATATCCTTCATCCCCTCTCCATTTTTTGGGCCTCTCTCTGGTGCTTAGAGAAAGAACTACTAAATGGTTTATGAGACAGTTCATTAATGTAAAGGTTCCTTACTGAAGACAACACTGAGGCACAAGATTGGCATTTATGAGCCTTTACTTTCCAGATCATTTTGGAACTCTGTAACAGCATATACAATGGCTTCAAGGAATCTGCTCCAAAATGTTACTTTAACCATTTTAGAAATAAGACTTCCTTAATTCATATTGCTATGAATTTTTCAGCAATGTGACAAATAATATTAGCAGCTTCAGCGCGACATGCTACACAGCAAATACTTGGGCAAATAATCAGTTACTCGTATAGACTTGTTTGTCTCTGGGGACATTTCTGAAATGGTAGTTCTTGTCAAATTGGCAGTATAGCTGAGAGGGCTCATCTAAGCTGGAGGTCCATTTTATGTCATTCCATTTTCAGAACAATTATAGTACAAACTGAAAGCAACACTCTGAGAATACTAATTGTTCATTGCATTGCAAATTTTGTACAGAGGACCAAAAGCACTAACTGGCCTGGTAAATCATTTCGTGAGTGGCATATTGAAAAATGTATTTGGATTGGACTTGTCAACTGCAGAAAGGCTGTGAAACTGTATGCATCTGTTTTCACAACAATGCATGATATATTCTGAGGGGAAAGCTACTACCTTTATTAAATACTATCAAATTATTTTTGCCTGTGTAATCAATTCAATGATTGATTTACCAGTTAATTGGTTAAATTGGCTTTAGTCAATTAACTAAAAAAAGTCTAAATAGTTTATCATCATTTATAATCTGTTTTGAACTTTCTGTGAACTATTTAAGCCTTTCTCACCCTCTGGAAAGCCTACTTCTACTTCTACAGCTTTCTTCCACAAAGCAGAAATGCCAGTGTTTCCAGTGGTAGGTTTGGGGGTGCATTTAAATAGTAAATTTGTCAAATCACTTTGCTTTATCTACTCCCTCGGTGAAGACAATTTGGAATTTCTAGTTCAAATATCAAGATCATTTCCACCAGTTTGAGGTCTGTTTGTCCATCATTGCTTTCCACAAGAGTTGGACATACCATAGAATTAGCACACTGTTTAGTCAAGCAAATAGTTAGAGCACTTAGGCTTTAATCCAATTTCTAGCCCTGTTAGAATAGACCAGGGGTTTGTGCATCGTAGCAGGTGCCACTCAGATTGGGGATTTACACCCAGTGGAACAGTTGTCCCCCCCCCTCTGCCCCAAGTCCTCTTCTTGGCCACCCTCTCCACCAGCCAGGGCACCTCTGACATCTATTGGCTATGACCACTGGTTGGAGTGGTCTGCTGCTGTTGTCTGGAAGGCAAGTCTGCTGGCCAGTTGGAAAAGTAAGTTGCCTATCCTTTCCTGCTCACTCAGCAGCTCTGCCAGACCCAGAAAAAAAATTGGGGGCCGAACCCCCACCACGGCAGAGGCAACCTGGATGATGGCTGGGGGGGGGCAGCATGAGTTACTGAACTGGGGTGACACCAACCCTAGTGATGCCACTGTAGTAAATCCATTGAATCAATTGCTGAATGGTAAGTCAACAATTAAGGAAATACTGTTGATTCAGTGTAGATGAGATTATCAACTTAATTTAGGCTTTATTTTAAAAAACCAACAGGCCAAAGAAGAAGAGAGATGGAAACAGCAGGGTGCCTTTACATACCTATTGATCTCTGATGCTTTGTGTTTTATACAGATGGATGCAGGAACACAGTTAATGGTAGCAAATGAAATGTACTAGGCAAATTTACAATAAACATCATTATTTACTCCAACAGCATAATTTCAGCTTTTTAGACCATGTGGCAGTTTTGATCATTAGATTTATAAATTAGCCTATAGGCAAGTTGGTACCCTGTGAACCCCCTATCCTCTGTGTGCATGTGCACATGCCTTCAAATTGTCTATCATTTTATGGCAGCTCCCCTTCATAGGATTTTCTCAGGCAATAAATACTCAGTGGTGGTGTTGCTAATTCCTTCCTCTGAAATATAGCCTACAGCACCTGCTATTCATTGATGATCTCTCAACCAAGTACTAACCAGGGCTGACCCTGCTTAGCTTCCAAACTTAGATGGGATATGGTGGCTTTGGGCTATTTAAGCCATCCAGAGGCCCCCCATATGTCTTCATATTTTAAGAGAGAGAGTAGGAAAAGGAAGGAAAAGAAGATTATTTATTGCTTTGATTTCTACTGCCCCCCCAACTCCTCCTTATCCAAAATTGCTTTTCAGAGCCTTTTATGTTTTAAAGTAGTTTCTGCATTTGCAAATACAGCATTTTTTTCCTTCAATCTTGGAACTCTAAGAAGGTGTGGGAGGGATCAATATCTTTTCTCCTAGTTTACCAGTTAAGGAGCTCATAACATAACAGCTAGTAAAATCAAATAGTATAAACAGATGGCTTGTTACAAAGCCAGCATATCTCATTTATGATCATTTAGTGTTACACCCATTAATGATTTGAGATGGGTTTTGATGGTAGCGCACATAGGTAAATAGGTAGGCACAGAGGAGATAAGGAGGAACTGTTGTACTAATTTGTATCATCTGTTGGTTAAGGGTCATTTTAATGCATATGTGAGGAATTCTCTGATTTGTATTTTTGGCAGATTTCAAAAGAAAGAGAAAAGGTATTCTTGAGGAAGGAAGGGTAGAGAGAAGTTAATGAAGAAAGAAACAGATATGCTCATTAGCTCCCTGAAATGGAAGTAAATTCACAGTTGAATTGTGTAAATAGCTTCACCCCTGCCAAATGGGGGTGGGCTGGAGTGGAAGATAAGAGCATATGTAAACTTTGCTCTTTGATTGGTAATTCATTCAAATGCTACAAAAGCAATTTGCTCTATGCAACACGGAGGGCTACATTAGCAATGTATAGTCACAGCATCTTTTACATTTATCAAGATAGTCTGAACTTTTCAGGAAAGCGTCTATCCATGCTACTATAAATTATAATCTAATAGAAGAGTGGGACTGGTGCTCTAAGAGGGCAACTGGTGAGCCATTAAGCCAAATGAATAGGTCAAGTGGCAGATTTTATCAAGTGACAATTAAGAACAAGATACTTGGAAACCGAGAGAGGTAATTACTCTGCAGTGCTAGGAAGTATTTTCTAAGGTAGCCATGAGAGGTATTATGTCCACTAAGGTCATAAAGTTCTGAAATCATTGACATCTGGAAGTTTAGAATGAGTGCCAGAAGGCTGATTAAGAGAAGTTAATACTTCTTTAGTTGCTCATATTATTCTTCTGAAGAAATCATTATTGGTTGGCGAATTCAAGGCTTTATATTCCATATGAGATTGTTTATAGGCTGTTTATGAAAAGCCAGAGTAGTTTCACAGTAACTCAAGGTTGCAGTCCTTAGATGAGCAGTCTCAACCTTGAGATGTATAAACAAAACAAATTTCAACATCACTCAGATTTCCACTTCTAAAACTCAGGAAATCTTAACTTATTTGCTAAGTTCTGCATATTAATCATGATCTTTCTCTACTCCTACTTGATGGTACAAAGGTGCTAACACCACTGTTGCCCCTAAACTTGGACTACAAACACAGCCAAAAGGAAAATATGTAATTATCTTTAGCTTGCTTGAAACCTCGTTTTATCCCTTGAACATAGAAACATATTACAGTTAAAACACAATGTGATATTGTTTAAATAGGATTCTGAGTGAGAACATCTGAATCTGCTGGGGGGGGGGAAATAGAACCCCAGTCTGTTTCCAAATTTACATGGTTATTTTACCTAAGGCCAAACCAGACACATACAAATTTAATTAACACATGTCTATTCTGCTATGGAGGGAGAGGGGGAATATAATTAACTTTTTTTAAAAAAAATGAAAATGAGTATGCAGAAGAAAGAAGAGAAAACTTTCCTTTTTCCTTCACCTTATCTTAAAGTACTCCACTGTTCTGAATCCATTTCCCCTGCCTGCTCATTGGGTATTGGAGTATTGGAGCTGGGCTAGAGGAAAATAGCTTAAAGTAACGAAGTGTGGGAAGGAAAGATTAGGGATGGTCCTCCCATTGCTTCTTTTAGTATAAACGTTAACCACTCTGCCTTGCTTTATAGCCTAATAGAGCAAGCATATGTTCAGTAACCATTTACATACCTTCTTTGGCATTTAGCCTTCAGCTTTATGGGTGGCAAATCTTGGCAGGTTTCTTCAGAGGAGGTTTGGCATTGCCATCATCTGAGGCTGAGAGAGTCTCACTTGCCCAGGGTCACCTGGTGAGTTTACATTTCTCAGCAGGATTCGAACCTGGCCTCTCGAGTCATAGTTGAATGCTCTAACCATTACACCACACTGGTTATTCTCTCAGCCACTAGTAAATTGCGCAGTTTATCATGGGAATAGTACAAAAGGAGCAGAATCTACTTCAGCTACTAGTACTAAGGAAAATCTTGTTTCAAATGAAATACTCCTTGCCCACACCAATTAAAAGAGCTGTTTTCCAAGACTGAAAGTTCATTTTGCATAATTTCTAAAAATGATCATTTCCCCATGGATCTTTCAAATTACTGAAGCAGGTTTTCCCCTTAATAACCAAGCAAATTACACACAATTAAGCATGTTCAGTGGGAGCTCTTGGCAAGGATGAGGAGATGGATTCTCTTTTGGTAATCAAAGTGACCGTTAATCGCCTGTAGCTAGGACACCTGGAAGCTTTAATCTGAACTGTTTCCTGTGGTTCAGCTCTAAATCAGGCACACAGAGATGGGAGGGCTGGTGGGGGGGAGGAAATCCTGTATAACTATAGCTCAGAACAGTCTCATTGTATGTAAATGCTACATGATGACTTCCAGAGAAATTTTCAGTGTGTTGCAAAGGGACTTATCAGTACAACTCAGAGGCAAAAGAGATTTGGGACGAGGACGGCTGCTCAAAGACAGGTTGAAAACGTGAAAAAGAAGCTCTACTGAAGGGGCAGGAATAGTGTGGCCCTCCAAATGTTGCACTACAACTCTCAGCCTCTCTCACCATGGGCTGAGCTGGTTATTACTGCTGGGAGTTGCAGTCCAACAGCAACTGAAAGACCACATGGTTCCTACCACTTCTCTGTTGGGTAACTCTCAGCTAACTCATCTGTTTTGTTTTTCTCTGAAGTCTGTTCGTCTAATGAATTCCAGTGCAGCAACAAGACCTGTGTAGCCACCATCTTTGTCTGCGATGGGGATGATGACTGTGGTGATGGAAGTGATGAGAGGAAATGCCCTCCTCTCACATGCAACCCCAACGAGTTCCAGTGCAATAACAGCCAATGCATCCCACAGATCTGGGTCTGTGACAACCAGCCTGATTGTGAAGACCACTCGGATGAGCTGATGGAGAAGTGCGGCTACAAATCCAAGCCTCCAATCATGAGCACTTGTGCATCTCATGAGTTCCGGTGTGGCAATGGTGAATGCATCCACCTGAACTGGAAGTGTGATGGAGATGAGGACTGCAAAGATAAGTCAGATGAGCAAGAGTGCCGTGAGTATCCACAAGAGCATGAAATGGTGTTTGGGGACAGAAACTTGAACAGTCGTTCATCCTAGATGAGACAGACTTGTCAGCCAGGTCCTGATCATATTTACTTAGATGTAGCTTTTCCTGAGTTCAGTGGATGCATACAGTCATTGCTCTGAACTCATTTTAATTGGTTTGTTTACATGTTGCTGAAATGAATCAGAGATCATGCCACTAGTCCTTGTGGGATTACTGGGGAGAGAGGGTAGGTCCTTGTTACCTAGTAACCTGTACATTAGCCAGGATAATTAGAAAAATTAATATACGGTAGCTGAAATGCCTTGAAATGTAATATAGGTGTCTACATCTGAAACACAACCCTGTGGTAGATAATAGTGGTGCAAATGGGACATACAAGAACAGCTCAGATCTTGGAAAAACTACTTTTTAGACTAAATTCTCAGAATCCTTCAGTTAACATGACCACTACTTTGTAAGAACTATAGTTCTAGCTAAAAATCTGTGCAATCTGTTGTATTATATTTGTGCATACTATAGGGTAATTAGTTAGATGTTCACTTGACTGGCTAGATAATTCTCGCAAGGCTGTCCATAAAAGCACATTCAGTATACTTTTCTACCCATGAATCTACACCCTACCAAAGAATGCTTTGCCTGGAGCTGAAGAAGCTTTCTATGCTTTTTTTTTTTCCTCCTTAAATTGAAGCTCCGCTTTTGTAAGTAGTCAAGTCGTTAAAGGCCCCAAGTTACTGAATAATGGATTTCCCTTCAGCTAGCTTTGTGCTCTTTCACACATAGCTGCAGTGTTTGGGGATGTTTCATCCATTTTTCAGATGCTAAGGAGCATAAGCTGGTCATTCACCCAAGGACTGAGAAAGAGAGAAGGAAATGGAGAAAATGTTTCACTGAAATATTCATAATTGCAACATGGAAATGAAATGAAATATTAATGCAACTACTACATGTAACCAGCACAGCTGAAAAACATCCATGAGCAGCAGGTAGACAGCTCTTGCATGTTAGGACTGAATCTTTTTAGATCCTGCTAGGAAGCTTCCTGCAATCTGCATACCAGATGATGAGGAATAATTAAATCACATATGAATCCATGAAATACACTAAGCTATTAAATTTAGAGGCAAGTCTCAGTGTTTGTACATTGGAGGTGTATTGCTTGTGTGTGTGTGTGCACATGCATGTACCTTCAAGTTGTCTGTCAACTTTTGGCAATTTGATAAGTTTCATAAGTTTTTCTTAACTAAGAAATACTCAGAAGTGTTTTGCCAGTGCATTGCTCTGAAACATAGGAGTTTATCACACGGGGGACAATTGGAAGTATAAACAGTGATTAACCCATTATAATCCCACAATTGCACTAATGGTTTTCATACAGCGTCGTTTAAAGTGCTATTATCCCATGAATAACCCATGATAATCCCGCAATTGAGCTAATGGTATTTACATGACATCGAGATGAAACGTGATTAAAGTGCTATTATCCTGTGAATAACCAGGCAAAGAACAGCAGCAAATCATTCACAGGATTTTCCCTGGATATTCATAGGATAATGGCTCTTGTGTTGATCTCACTTTAATCACATTTTAATGTCAGTGTGTGATTTTCACAGGTTAATTAGTATTTAAACTCCTAATTTCCTCCCGTGTGATAAACTCTATTGTCTACAGCACCTAGCATCTCTTGGCAGTCCCCCATCCAAGTACTAACTAGGCTAGATCCTGTGTAGCTTCTAAGACAGGGATCGGCAACCTATGGCCCGCGGGCTGGACCCGGCCCGCCAAGGCCTTGGAACTGGCCTTTGGCCGGTCTTGCTGTTGTCGCCACTGCGTGTGCGCCATGCGCAACATGAGGCAACATTTTGCTTTCCAAAATTGTGCCCGCACTCGCACACACATGCTCACGGTGGCGGGTGCCATTTTGGAACGCCAAATGGCACCGGCGTCATGCGCACACGCCAACACCGTTTGGCCTTCCAAAATGGCACCCGCCACCGTGAGCATGCGTGCGCGAGCGCAGGGTGCCATCCAAAATGGCGCCCTGCGCTCACGTACGCAAGTGCACCACGGCAGTGGCAGTGCGCATGCACGCGTGCGTGCACCACCACAACCCGGGGCATCGGGACCAGCCCCACCCCCAAACAGGTTGCCGACCTCTGTTCTAAGATCACATGGGATATGGTGTCTTCATGGTACATTGAGCCCTAGGTATCCGCTATGGTTTGGTCCAGGACACACACACCCCACATACCAAAATCCATGGGTTCTCAAATGCCATTGTATACAATAGGGCAGTAAAATGGTGTCCCTTATATCAAGTGGCATAATCAAGGTTTGCTTTTAGGAATTTATATTCTTTTGAATATTTTCAAGCCATGGGTGGCTGAATCTGTGGATAAAGAATCTATGGAAACCAAGGGCTGACTTTATTGCTCATACCAGGAACACAATTTAACTCTGAATCAAAGTCTCCCCATCATACATCACTGCAGCTTCTTCCCACTGCATGTTAGGCTGCTGCAACAATGTACTTGCATATAGTGGCAAAGGATCCAGTGTGAAATAGTTTAGGATTTTCTTCTCTGTTCTGTGGTTTTCTGATTTTAAATAAAGTGTTCAGAAGAAACTACAATTATGCCAAGTAATGCCTTAACCAATATAGGACATTTTGATGGCCAGGAGAGAGAAAATGCTTGAAAAAAAGAGTGAACTTTCCAATGGCTTTCTGAATATGTGTGTTAATAAAAATAATAAAAAACAAACCAAAATTATCTTACTAGTTACTCTTGGCAGGAGAATATTGTGATTCAGTAGCCCTCAGCAAACAGCAGTGGCAGCTGATGGCTCCCATTTCAGTGAATTGATAAATCTGGTTGTTGTTTTCTACTGTAGGATATAAATGAGCTATCCAAGGTACTGAATATTGAACATATTTGGGTAATAGCAATTTGCATAGCTCCTTTAAAGATCATAATAAAACACAAAGGAGTTTAACTGGCATGAAAGCTATTACCTACAACTGGCAAATAGCAGACATGTTATCTTTTTTGATAGAGCACACAAGCTACCAACATTTTAAATCCACTTTTGTCCCAAATGTCTGACATAAAAGAAGGACAGCAATTTAAAACAAATCTGTACCAAGGCCAACATCTATCACTTGTTGTTAAGAGCATTTTAAAAGAATGAAAGCTGCATTCAGGCTGAACATTAATGATGACAACGAGTGAACATTTTTTGGCAGACAAAGAAAGACAGAGAGCAGGAGAGGAGCAAAAAAAAGAAAAAAGAGAGATTTGATTGGGGAAGCTCATTTTCACCAGTTGATTTTTCTTGATATTGATAAATAAATTTACCAATAATGTTTGAAATAAAATAATCGGTAGATAAAATGTTTTGTACATAGGTGATCATAGTTTATGTCAGTTCTTGGCATCTTATCTTAATAAGACCAAAAGTCAGAAGATACCATTTGCTTAGGACATGAAGGAATGTCTGCTGATCAAGACAGGCAGTACTGTGCTAGAAACATTTGGTATATGAAAAATCTTTCTAACTTTCAGAGTATGTATAAAAAATACTTTTTAAAAGCAGGGGTGGGAATTATGCAGCCCTCCAAGTCTTGTTGGACTGCAAATCCAGCAGTTCTAACTAACATAGCTAATTGTGAGGGACTATGGGAGTTGTTGTCCACTTTAGGGTTCCCATAAGTCAGAAACGACTTGAAGGCACACAACAATAAAAGTCCAACTACATCTTGAAGGCTGCATGATTCCCATCTTTGCTTTAATGACAAGAAGCACTTATAAGTTTGTTGAAATCC